TAAAAATACAACTTTTTCCACATTTTTTGGCATTTTATATATTTCATTAGTTTTAAAAAGTATTTTTACGTATTGATTACGATTTTCGAATCGATAAGTACTACAATTCCAGTTGAACTAGTCGAATACATCCATTCCCCAACTCGCGGCCCAACCGGTCGGTGAAAATGTAAAAACTGGTAAAAACACAACTTTTTCGAGATTTTTGGCATTTTATATATTTCATTAGTTTCAGACAGTATTTTTACATATTGGGTACAATTTTCGAACCGATAGGTACTTGAGATTGGTCGAATACCTCTCCATTCCCCAAATCGCAACTCGCGATTCAACCGGTAGGTGAAAGTCTAAAAACCGTTAAAAGCATATACTTTTTATGATTTTTTCGGTATTTTAGATATTTCATTGATTTCAGAAGGTATTTTTACATATTGGGTATAATTTTCGAACCGATAGGTACTTGAGATCAAGTTGAACTAGTCGAATACCTCCATCCCAACTCGCAACTCGCGACTTAACCTCAACGATAAGCCCACGGGCTTTTGATCAATTATTTTTAATATTTAGCGGATAGATTATTGTAATGTGTAAATTGTCGGATCCGGACTCGGCCATAATTTACAGATGCAAAAATATGGGTAGTCAGCATGATTTCAGCTTCTAATCGCGCGTTTCCGTGTGGCATCGCTTGTAGAGTAAACAGGACGCACGTTGATCCATGCGATGTCAACGGCAGCTCCTTTGTTGGCCATTACAGCTTCTAATTGCACCGATATCGCACGGCATGAGAACCGTTCCTTTGCGATTTCAGCACTCGGCACCGCTCGCAATGTAAACAAGTCGCGTGCTGATCCGTGTAATGTCGATTACAACCCTTCATTTGCCACTTCAGCTTTTACTCGCGCGATATCGCATGGCATCGCAGGGAGTTTAAACGGGCCCTAAAATTTTAACTTCTGAGCTGGAAGGAAATTTAAGTTTGTCAATGTTTTTTATAAACACCTCATGAAAATATTATCACCAAATTGCTTATGCTATCATATAACATGTTAAAGTGTTCTTAATGAAGATTGTAGTTGATCGATATGTGGGCCGTTCCCGATACTTTTGGTCTGCATAGTCTGTCTGTTTTGGTCTGACTGACACGTTTCTCTTTTTCAATCATCAGCAGCCGCCTGTCACAGCCAGCGTCCAAGAGACCAAAATGATTTGCAAACGAGCAACCTATAGATTATAACAGGTTATAAAATGGCCATACGTTATAAAATTTTATTCTATTTAAATATTTTGGAGAATTGGAGTGCAGTATTAAATGCCTCCATTAAAAATTAGCCCTTGAAATTATGATCTTTATTATTGTAGGTTTTATTTATATGATTTATTTATATAAAATATTACTTCTATCATTTAATATATATATGCTTTGTTCTGTTTATCCATGTAAGTTTGATTAGTATGGACTAAATTATTTCGGAATCAGTTTACAATAAACATTAAGTCAATTCGATTTGTTGTGAATGACAGGCTCGCTTGAACGAAAGTAACGAAAAACTAAAAACACATAAAAGTACTGTGAGGCCATGGCCCGTGGAGAATTTGGAAAAACGTAACAAAATAATATTAACAAGGTTGCGAATAGGTTACACTGGTCTCACGCACGGTCACCTCTTAGTGGATAGAAGTCCAAAAGGCTGCCCTCTGTGTAAACCCAGTAACGGTGAACACCTATTAGAGGAAAGTGACAGGTTAAGAAAGTACCGAGGACGCTGTGACCTACCATCTAATCTGGAAATAGTTCTTAAGCATAACAGTGACTTGAAAAATAATCTTATTATGTACTTAAAATTGATAAATGCGTTTGGGTACATACAATCAACCACAAGTGATAAGTTTCCATTTGTCAGTGTGAATGTATTTATTAGCGTGAAGAGGTATGACCGGGTGTGGCTGTGACTGAATATCGAGTAGCTCACAGGCCGACCAAATTATTGTAGTTTAGGTGATTATATATTTGTTGTGTGATGGGAGGGACAGATCGCCGCTATCAAGGTTTTGTAATCTTGCCGAGATGCTGCGACCTCTCCAATATGAATGTATTTATTAGCGTCAATGTTTTGTGTAAATGGACGAGGATGTCGAGGAATATCGAGTACTCCAGAGGCCCGTCCAAAAAAATTCTAGGTTATGGAAATTAGTCTAATGAATGAGTGAAATTTTGTACATACCGTATGAATGTATTTATTAGCACGAATGGAAGGAAGTCGGTAGGAATAAGACTATCTTACCGACTTTTTATTTAGTTCTAGGGGTAGGACCTCAGTCGTGCATCGATACTCTGTGCCCTGCCAACTATAGATTGTATTGTGAGTGTGTCTACAAGTATTTTTAACAAACCACATGTGGGATGGTAGGAACGAGCAGCAAAATACGGTCGGTAGGAAACAAAATTAAAAGGAGATATAAAAAAGTAATTAAAATAAACACGAACATTCCAAATTGTCTCATCGCTAAAATAGATTTTTATTTGATCATTGTATGTGGGGTATAATCAGTTATTGAGTCTAAATTATAAGAAAGGACGAAAATCAGAGAGTAAGGAAGCGTAACCATTAATCATATGCTTATATACAAGTTAGAAAAGGTTATTGAAAAAATACTTTATTATTCATATCGTTCACGTCAACAGTAATACACAACGTGACCTCTGGCACAACATAAAAACGGATCGACAAATTTCAGCAGTAACCCGGTGTCTTGAGACGGATTCCGTTTCTGACACGTTCTTTACAGAAATCCAAACCGTGATCACGTAACTCTGATAACGGAATTTCTCTACACGAGGGATCAAGGGAGGCTACGTTCATCTGACAGTAAACATAGTGAAGTATTGGGTGTTCTACCCGATGGCGATCACCATTCATTTAGTGCAATCTCTTCGTGAAATGTTACAGTACTATAAATAATTATGGATGAATAACTGAAACCTAAGAAAAAAATTGGGAATATGGGAACAAATGGGAATAAAAAATCGGCCTTATATCAAAAATCAATATGTCTTGGAAAATTTTTTTATAATAAGATAAGTTAGGTTCATGCTGAATCGATCGAAATACGAGCAGGCCGCAAGAGCAGTTGTGTTCGTTGTCCAATGAGCATGAACTGGGTGCATCCATTAAACACACTTCCGCCATAGAGAACCGTCTCAGCATCAAGAATCGGTCAATTGTTAAAACGTTACTAGTTCAATATCCAACAACCTATTTCATTGCCAGATAAACTGTTACTGTCCTATGTTTTAGATGACGACAAAAAAAAGTTACAATATACCGCCGAAATGATCTGCCGTTGACTTTGCATGGATCAGCGTGCGACCTAGTCACACTACGTTAAGTGCGATATCACGCGATGAGAAACAAAAATTACAAATAAAGGAGCAGTCATTGACTTTGCTTGGATCATCGTGCGATCTGTTTACACTGCTAGCGGTGCCATGTTATATCACGCTAGTACAAAAATCGCATAGAAATGGTAATAATTGACTTTACGTGAATCAGATGGCCTTGCTTACATTGAGATCGACCTGCCATTGATTTCATTTTTAAGTCCCGTCTATTGATTACCTCTTGTCCGTACAACTTGGCAACGAAGATTTTTAATTTAAGGTTCTTGAAGAAGAAGAAAGCAAATTTAGTTGCTAATGCCGAGCTTTCGGTCATCATCAGGTTGGGTCAGTAAGGTCAGCCAACGTTAAATTTTAAAATATGTAGCTTGGGGGCTTATAATCATTTTGTTCTTGATTACCATAGTGCAAAAACTGACTTCCACTCTTGGGGAGGTTAGTGTCCGAGTGGATCAATGTCACGATAGCTCAAGTGGTAGAGCAGCAGCGTATTTAGCCGAAGGTCGTGGGTTCGAATCCCGCTCGTGACAGTGACTTTTTATCTCAACCAATGCCTCCCAAAAAGATTAATTATTTGAAAGATGTTATTTGGTCAATCGGACCACGAAATCTAACGGCTCTAGAATACGATGTAAAAAAAGAATATTTTTATAAGATATACAAAAGTAAATGTCACTGAAGAGGACTCATGTAATCATGTCATGATGTTCAAAACGTTCCGTTAATAAACAAAATTCCGTGCTGCAATGTATCGTTCCACAACCTACAGTACAATTGATAGAATTGTAGAGTAAACAATAAAAAGATTTTATTATTATTTTAAAAGTACCCATAGTTATTTGTCCTAGTAAAACAGTAGATCGCAAAAATAGAAGTTTTGTTTGTAATTTTCAACCGATTTGTAAGGTTTGAATCACGCTTCGGGTTTTTAAAAACAATAAAAATGTCAATGTCTACGTTTATAGCCGGTAGTTTCGAAGTAAATCACTTTTTCTTAAACGGAATGAAAAAGATTTTACAATCGGAAAAATCAGGATTTCGTTTCCACCGGTTTATTCGCTCTACCATTATTGCCTTACAAACTACTTCTCAAAACTACCTTTCTTTCCCTCATTCGTTACTAAACTAAGATTTTCGCGTGTATACTACTGTCCTATACGGAAGGTTCTTAACAAGTTCTTGAAAGATTTGAAGAACAACAATTTTCTACCTGCACATCCTGGTGATTTTCTTTCCAAGGCTTTTGTGACAATACAGTCAAAATTATTGCAATGTAAAAATTTTGTGGTTAAAACTCCAGGTATTTTTTTAAATCAAGAAGGAGTTAAGCATTTTAAGGTAAATTACAAGTAATTAAAAATGTATAAGGTGTCTTATTTTCACAGTTGTTCAATCAGCGACCCAAAGGCCATGGGTTCGGATCCTACTCATGCTACACCTTTTCGTCTCTATGCAGTCTTATATCAATGAAAAAATATTTTTTCGAATAAAATATTTTTCGCACTTTATACTTAATATTACGATTATAATAAATAATAAATATAAATAATAAAATTATACTTTTTGCGGCTTGGTTTCATTTAACCTTTCCATGTTGTAGGACGAAAGGGAGTGACGTCGCACAAGCATATAGTGGAGGCGATCCATCATCGATCATGGTAATTTGTTTTTCTTTACAAAACAAAATTGTAGCATCTGTGAATACCATTCCGCAAATTTCGACTTTAAAAACTATCTGAGGAAGAAATTTTTTTTAACACTGACCTCGGTGACTCTTCGGGGGCCAGAGGTCTATAATTTTCTGTTATTTTTGTCTGTGTTGTTCGATGGTGTGGCAACTACCTACATAATATAGACATACTGTCACCAGACGTAAGTTACACCCAACATACCAAGGACCTTTCACCAACATATATAAAGGACTCAAATCACACAAACCCAGAAGATGGCGTCTGACTGACCAAACCGGAAAGGAAGATGAACTTATTCTTTTTTTACCGATGGTGTATTTTTCCTTGATAAACCTGCTTTTGACTTCAGTGTCCAGTATGGCCAATTGTAAATAATCCCTAGCGTGTATGTGTATGCAATGTACATACAAAAAAGGTCAAACGTCATTGGTTTTTCATGTATGAATGAACTTTTAACAACGTGAAGCATTACCCATGTCGCAAAGTAGTGAAAACGTAACCCGTAAACGTAGGCCGCTCACTGATCAGTGTAAAGTCGACGGCAGCTTTTTCTTTGCGATATCAGCATCTAATCGCGCGATATCGAACAGCATGGCTCGCAGTGTAAACAGGTCGTGCACTGATCCATGCGAAGTCATTGACAGCTCCTTTTTCTGCGATTTCGGCTTCTAATAGCACTATATATATTAACGTCTTTCTTACTGACCTGTTGTTTCATAATTTGTTGAAGTCGTGAGGTGCGGTCAAGAATGAGGTAGTTTAGAAAAACACCTTTTTCATTTTTTGCCGACGTTTCGACCTTTATTCCGGTCATCTTGTGTTGTGTGAACACAACACTTTCACACACCGATATGACACCACAAGAATAGCACCACATTTTATGCCATGAAGATGACCCGAATAAAGGTCGAAAGTTGGCAATAAAATGAAAAAGGTGTTTTTCTAAACTACCTCATTCTTGACTGATCCTCACAACTTCAACAAAATAAATTTTGACTTTTTTTATCGCCATCAAAAACTCATTGTTCGGTATCACCTGGCAATGAAATAAGTTGTGGGATATTGAATTGGTAACGGTTTAGCACTTGACCTATTCCTGATGGTGGTAATGATCTCATGTAACTACGGCCATTTGTGAACAGTAATGCCTGTTTGCAATGTACATATCAAAAAGGTCAATCGTCATTGGTTTCTCAGTGTTAATGAACGGTTGATTAAATTCACCATATCCGTTCGGTTTAACTTTGCACTTGATGCGATATACGTTACACCAAGTGAAAACGGGTCGATAATTTGCCGCTGTCTCGAATGACATCGCTTGGTATCGCTCGTAGTGTAAACAGCTCGCACTCTTATTCATGCAAAGTCAATGACAGCTCCTGCCTCCTGTCTTTGAAATTTCTTCTTCTACTCGCGTAATATCGCACTGCATCGCTCGGTTCCGTTCGCAGTGTAAACAAGTCGCACGCTGATCCATGTAAAGTCATTGACACCTCCTTTTTTTGCGATTTAAGCTTCTACTCGCGCAATATCAGCTCAATAAACAGGTTGTGAGTGACGAGCACAGGTAAACAGTGGAGGCGACCCATCATAGACCATGGTTATTTCTCTTTTTATTAAAAAAAAAATTGTGGCGTGTGTTGCACACTATTTTGCACTCGTGTGATTTATACATTTCGTTTTCAAAAACGAAACAAAAAAACTTGAATCTCTAGTGTTGTTTAATATAAACGTTTCAAATATGTCGATGTTTTGAAACGTTTTGAAGTCCCAGGAATTTAGAAACTCGACACGGTATGGAGGACACGTGTAATTAGCGTTGTCGGTGTCCGGCTGGCGTTATGTTCAAGTAAAATCAAAACGCTGCATCTGTAGACCAGAAAACATTTTGCGGTATGGAAATGAGCGGCCCTTTTTGGGGTCGTAAAGTGTAACTGCCAGCAGCCCGACCGGGGTCGCCTCTTACCGGAAAACAAACAGAAAATCGATTCCCGTGCAACTCTGATTCACAATCCCCTAATAGAATTACCCGATTATTACCGGCGATTATTTCCAGTCACGAAGACTAATGTCCGTTTGAAAAAACGTCACTTTTGACTTTGCAAAACGGGTTTTTTGTGAAAACAAAACATTATTCGATTTTAAAACAGCACCATTTCTTAACAAATGTCTAGTTAGTTAAAATAATACTATGAATAAAACGTAAATTAAAAATTATTTCACTGCAAATATAATAAATATTTGTAAATGATAAAAACAACCTATTTATTTTTAGTCGTCTAATTGACCAAATTACTTATTTCAATTCATTATTCCTTTTATGTAAGGTCTTGGTTGAGCTGAAAAATCCCGCTCGTGGCACTAACTTTTTAATCTCAACCAAGACCATAAAAGGAATAATTAATTGAGATAATAACATCGTTCTAAGGGGGCGTCGGTGGCCGCAACGGTTTAGACGTTGACACGGTGCTGACAGTGTAAGGTAAAGGTCCCGGGTTCGAATCCGACATATTTACAAACTTTTTTTTTTTTCAAGACAGGTTGTTCCAATAAAAATGTTCACCCCACCTAACTGGTAAGATTTCCTCTTGATCTGCGGGATGATAAACCTATTGTTTGATAGTTACCCCTATCATTCTTGTCTTCTAATCCTCGCTGGTTTTTGTGGGCTCAGACGGGTTTCGGCATTTCGCCAACTTCAGAGTTTGGGGAATATTTCCGAAATGATATTTTAGTTATGATGCCGTGGATCCTTGGGGAGAGGGGGTGTTAGCAGTATTAGTACTGTTTGTCGGTGTGCTTGGAGTATTAAACAGGGGTCTTTAGGTAGGCAAAGCCTCGTCTCCAATCACCCCGAGCGCATGCCAGAATGCATTAAGTTCCACCCTGTACACGGTGCAGTTGCTGGAGTGTCCATGAAACAGACGAACCCCTGGTATACACGGAACACGCCACACCCTTGCTGGTCTTACAACCGTCCTTAAAGAAGAGGCGAAAATGGGCGAATTCCGATCTTAGTTCTAAGAACACAGCTTGGTAAAGGTGCGGCGGTATACACGACCTGGCTAACACCGCGAAATCGTCCCGGACGAGTAGAGCAGTTCGGTCTGTTCCAAGCCAGAGTACCGTCCATAGAGTCAAACCTGCCCTCCAACAGACTATGCCGAAGCGAATTCGGGGTTGCGTCCGAGTCCTAAGTCGCTCGTATAGCTGATTATACTTATTCTTCAGGATCGTTTCCGTTAAGGGGTTACCCGACTTCTCTCCAAAATTCAGGCGGCAACTATCTCGCAGCAGAGGCCGGTCAAGGGGCTGATTCTAAACGCGCCCGTTACAGCTGGTTGCCCTGATAGTAGAGCCTGTCGAGCAAGTGACGCGTTTTCCAACCCGAGGAATAGGCTGCAAACCCATAAATCTGCCTCGAGCTGAGCAACGCTTCGAATATTTTAAGCTCCCCATATGTACGTCCCCTTCTTGAAATGACCAATGAATCCAATCAAACCGAGGGTCTTTCGGCACTGGACCTCAACGGCTTCCATGTGCCACCTCAACTTTTCATCAAATATAACTAAGGCCGAAGAACCGCACCCTCTCCACGTACGGTACCTGCGCGCCCCCAAAGCAGAGTTGTTGGTGAGTTATGAGCCCTCCTCAATCTGTAAAAGTGGACTCACACGGTCTTCGACGAGGAGAAGTAAATCCCGCTTCCTCAGAGCTGGCAGTCACAGCGTTGATCGCCGATTGAATCACCCCGGCGACCTCCGTTAGATCTTTACCAAATTGTAAAAACAGAGGTCGTCGACTCGTAGTAAATTTCGTTTCTGCGGAGGAATTACCCAAGTCGGCGATCTGGCTCACCGTTGTCAGAAAGTGCGTGACGCTCATCACCGATCCATGGAGGATGCCGTTCTCCCGAAAGTGATCGCTGAGTAGCACAGAACCCAGCCTAACTCGGAATCTTCGGTTTCCCACAAACCCACGGATAAACCATGAACAGAATATGTCTCCATAAAGTAGTCATCGCATTCAGTGATACAGACTGCAGTTACTTCATCCTCATTGCATAACCTATAAATGGTCTCATCATTGAATCCACGTTGTGCAGGTGTTTTCTCAGATAACAGTGACTGGTGAGCGCTGTCACTCCTCTGGACTTGACCATGTCTAACTGTACCAATGTGTTGAACAGTTCTGAGTATTCAATTATGAATTTATTATGTCTAGAATCTTCTTCGTCTACGTTCGATCTTCTTAACCCAATTATAGATTCTGGGCCTGGTGAATTTCTTAGTTTTCAGTAGTTCTCCATTTATTTACTCTAAATATGTGTTGATGACATTGTCATTCATTAAAGTTTTTTTCCAAAACTAATTCGAATATTTTTTCAGAAGTTCGATAAGCCTTTTTGAAGTCTCTTACCTACATTTATTTGTATTTCAGCCTCTTTATAAATAAAAATTTCTTTATTTTAATAAAACCTTCTATTCCTTTTTTAGTGTTATTAAAATCTTCTCAGTAAATAGCCTATCTTAAACATTTTCAAAATCAATAAAAATTGATAAAAAATCAATAAAAAAAAGTTATGTTATTTAAAAGTATATAAACTGAATTGAATTTCAGTACACTTTCCGATTAAAAAAAATCTGCGTTTATTTTGGTTTTCCGTCATCAATAAACTGAAAAGGTTTTCTCATAAAACCAACATATATCAATTATTAAAATCCAAATGCTGGTCAAACGTTAAAGCCCAACTTTCCATTTAAAAAAGTATAAATTACAAAAATCTTTCGTAATTAATGTAAATAATTAGTTTAAATTTGTTTACAAGAGAATCGGATTAAGGTCGGGCTTGTAGAGTGAACTTAATTCCATAGGGTCGACCCTTTTTTTATAAGAGTAATGGAAACGAATGGTCGACCTTTAACGTGCTTGGGCATAGTTTAAAAATGTATAACTTTATACGTATC